CAATAAAAATGTAAAAGTGCTTGAAGTGTGTAAGTGCCTGAAGTTTTATTTTCTGAAATAAGGCATACTGGCATAGTAACCCAAGTTAGGTTATTTTTGACCTTTGACCTTTGGTTAAAAAGGGGCCTACTAATTTCTGGGTTATTTCAACCCAGATATTGGGGTTGTTCTTTTGACCCAGAAGTTGGGTTATATTAACTACAATTTTGGGTTATTGTAACCCAGCATTTGGGTCAGGTATTTAACCCAGAAGTTGGGTCAAAAAGAATAACCCATTTTTCTGGGTTGAAATAACCCAGAAATTAGTTGGTCCCTTTTTAACCCAGGATTTGGGTCAAAAATAACCCATTATGGGTTATTTTTGACCCAGGAGTTTTTAGTGTGTAGCCATCTGATATTGCCAAGTCTTCACCCGCAGTGGGACATCTCTCAATAGATCCCCACACAAGTGCGCACTCTTATTTAAAATACTGTCATATAAACAGGATATCAAATAAACATTATCGATAATAACAAGAAACATTTAACAATGTCCAGTATATAAAATAGCTATGTAAATCATACCCTATAATATGACAAGTAATATTACTACATTAAATATTATTATTATTATTATAGTAATATTACTACTTCCAGAGGTGAACAAACCCTTTTCTAAACAAGATCTGACGTGATGCGTAGTTTTCCCTACCAAAAAGCGACCTTCAACTTATACGCGACGATCCGACGTTTAGACGAGCAACGCTTTTCAACACCGCGACGGTCCGACGTTTTCGCGAATAAAACGCTATGCTTATGCCATTTATGCGACGTATTGCCTACGTACTTGTACTGACTGGGTAGACAGCGGGCAAGGTGAGTGACAATCTCCTGACATAATCATGTTGCAAGAATATGTTTACCCGTCTGCAAGGCTGTGTCGCCAAGTAATGGCTCCTATCCAGAACTATGGTGCCATCTCTGGATCGAACGCACTCCTTGCCGTGTCTTGTTTTATGAAATCTGCCAAACTTTGTCGGTTACCTTCCATATTGGAATCTTGAAGGTGTTTTGATGTATGTTGCTAAATACCGCTCACTAGTTCCTACAACTATTGAATGTAATTAAATAAACTGGGGGCATCTTATTTAAAATAAAACTAACAAAATAGTTAGCCTTTGTCTTTTCCAGATTCAGCAGTCCGAAACGCCCGTTAAACAGTCCGGTCAGCTAGCTCGATAGCCGAGTCAGAGATGTTAGCATTCAGCCAGGTTTCTGTGAAAACTGAAGCACAACTGTTCAACTTTTGCGATGAAATCCTCAGTCTTTCTTTACACAGCGTGTAGTTAGAGTATGGAATAGTCTTCCTGCTAGTGTAGTGGAAGCTAAAACCCTGGGTTCCTTTAAATTAGAGCTAGATAAGATTTTAACAACTCTGAGCTATTAGTTAAGTTCTCCCCAAACGAGCTTGATGGGCCGAATGGCCTCCTCTCGTTTGTAAATTTCTTATGTTCTTATGTTTCTTATGTTCTTATGTCTCAGCTCATCTATCTTGTTAGCTATAGACAGAGTATTCGCGCCAAACAGGCTGGGTAGAGGAGCTTTGTTCATGGAGTTCTTTAGCCTATCATGAATGCCAGCTCTCTTACCCCGCTTCTGCTTTCTCTCCCATCTCTACCTGTGCCGTCTCTTTGTCCAGGTGAAGATCCAGGCAGGCACCAAGTAGCTCCTTCGGGACATTGAGAGGTGGGGGTGGAATAAAACCTTTTAAGCCGATATTTTGAATTTCCTGTGGACTGTACTGTATGTTGCGTGGTCTTGTCGTAACTGCAAACAGTGTCTCACTGTGACAAAAAGTAAACTAACACACAAAAATTAAGTGAAAGAGTGGCATCTACATGGGGAGCTCCGGGCTGCTGTATCCGTGCATGCCACCACCTTGAATCGAATCCCACAGATATGCTTTCCTTGGAGGAAGTAAAGCTGGAAGACTCGGGGGGGGGGGGACTTACCCATCTCTAGGGCTGAGGTCACTGAAGTAGAAGAAAAACTCTTCAATGGTAAGGCTCCAGGAGTGGATAAGATTCGCCCTGAGTTCCCAAAAGCAATTGATGTTGTTGGGCTGTCTTGGCTGACATGCCTCTTCAGCATTGCATTGATATTGGGGACAAAGCCTTTGGATTGTCAGACTAGAGTGGTGGTCCCAGTCTTTAAGAAAGGGGACAGGAGGATGTGTTCCAGCTTCAGGAGGATCACACTCCTCAGCCTCCCTTGGAAAGTCCTGTTGGTGTCATTAGGCTGTAACTTGCAGCATGCACTGGGGCAGTTTGCTGCTGAGTGTGAGGCAGC